GACAAGTGCACTGTGGTACAAATGGCTATAAGAAGCCAGGGCTGGGGATGCACAGCAATGCGTTGTTATGGCATGTGAAAAAGAAATGTGACCCTCTGAGCAGATTCAGACAATTAGGAACTTTTTAGCTCACTTTTCTCTCACATCCACCACCACATCAGGTGACACACCTCACACTGTCTTTGTCTCCTCTTGTTTTGTTTTTTTTTTTTTTTTTTCCATGTCCTTCGGTTGGGAGGTGACATAGGTGCCACTCTCCTGTGCTAAGACCCCCTTGCTTGGCCTGTTTCAGTTCCCTGGGGTCTCTCTCTCTCTCTCTCTCTCTCTCTCTCTCTCTCTCTCTCTCTCTCGACTTCTCTTGGACTTGCCTTCTTCTCTGCTGCTCTTGCCTGTCACCTGGCCCGCCTGCACCTGCTGGCCACTTGCCACCTCCTTAGGCTCTGTAGCAGAAGTGTTGGTCACAGATAGACTCCATCATACCATCCAGGAATAAACTACATTTTACTGGCAGGAGGTATTTCTGAGACACAGTTGGAAGAAGAGACTGTGCATCCCAATAAGTGCCTGTACACTACTCCTAAGGAGAAGATGAAAGCGTAACTTGTGAGGTGGGCGGAAAGCATCCTGCTGGGGAACTCCAATAGCCCCGCTGTTGGGAACCCCAGAGGCCAGACCAAGACTTTTCTCCTGCCCAAGTTTCCAGCCAAGCACATTGCTTAGTCACTGCAAGCAGAAAGCCCTTAGGGCAGGCCTGTTTCCCTAAACCTGAGGTGAAGCTAGAAGACAGGGAAGAACTAGGAAGAAGCCTCACAGTTTGCACTTTTAGATAAACACACCATGTGCGGTTTCTGCAGCCCTGCCCTCATCTAGAGATATGGCCTGTGAAAGTTTCTCCCATAGACAATAACGAAGAGAATGGCTATCGTATCAATAACCCAGGAAGAAAGGTAGGGCAGGAAAGAAGGAGGAAAGATGGGAGGAAGGGGGAAGGAAAGAAACCAGGAAGCTAACCTACACTTGAAAACACAGTACCCTCTTAAGTTTGTTCCATGATATTGAAAATAGTTTGAGATATATTTTTTCCCTAATAAAAGGTGCTAGAACTCTTCTAAAACACTGCCTAAGAGTGTAGTGATATTTCACTAGGCAAGTATTAACATAAAATGTACTTAGGAGCTTAGCACAGAATGAAACAATAAACATCGTAACCTTCCCTAATCTGTTCAATTTATCCCTCGAAGACAAAAACCCATTCTTATGGGACTAGTTCTCGCTCCAAGACTCAATCATTCATTTATGAAGAATTGTATGGGCCTTATATGAAGTTACTCCTTCTGGGAAAGACCACTGGCTCTAGAGAAGACGCCAGACTTCACTGTTACCGGAAATGGCCATGTCACATGCTGAGCTGAGACGCATCAATCTTCTAACATTTTGTACACAACACACAGAAGTCGATCTAAAAGCCTGGTCTGCCCTGCATTCTTAAAAAAGTGTTCAGAGTCACAATCTACAGAGACAATGAACACAATGAGTCACAAAGAGAACTCAGAAGTGGCCATGGTTTAAGATCTATACAATGGCTTAGACAGAGTGCATGAGGGTAAAACCTCGCTGGTTCTATTTTGTTCTTCTCATTTTATTTTGCTTGTTTCATTTATGGAATTGTCTTCAAACCCCTTTCTTAGAATCTACTTTGGCTTCTCTTGCTATTAAAAATCCAAGTTGGGTACTCTGCGTCTTGATTATTTATTTTAAAAAAAATCAACAGAAAATGAAAGTTTTCGCACCATTTAGAACATGAGCCTATACCGCCAATATTTTCTAAAAGAAGACTTCATTTTTCCTGTGATTATTCTCATGGCTGTTTAGTTTTTCTCTTGTCCACAAACTCACATGTATAGAATTCAGAATGAGTATAGACTTGGAGAATTGCAGTGACATCCTGGGAGCCACTTGATGGGATACCACAAAGGCGCCCATAGAGTAAGAAGAGAGGACATGGGTCACAGGAGTCCGAGACAGCAGCTAACACCCACCTCCTCTGAGAAGCCTGAAATGGCCGACCAGGGAATCCACCCAGCTTCTCCAGAGTCTCGTCTCTGGCAAAACAGAGACCATTTCTTGGCATGTCGTCATTATGGATTTCAAGGATACAACTTATTCTTTAACTGCCTTAACCCAACTAGAGTCCTAACTTTGAGACAGTTACATTTTGGGGACAAACTGATCACTCACAGTCCTCCTGGAAGAGTGTGGCAGGTGGATGAAATTTCCTACTCCCATTAAGTCATGTTCATTTTTTAATGAACTCTTCAGAAATTGAATGCAGCCACCGAAGGTGCCGGGACCCTGGGATTTGCCAGACAGACAAAGAGAGTAGGTAGGTAGATGGATGGAAAAGATGACCACGATGGTCTCTGTGACATATCCCTTGCTTCGGGAGTTCCTGTCATCCAGTTTCTCCAGCAGGCCTCACCTTCTCCTCCACCAGCCACTGCCCAGATTCTCTGTGCCAGCATGTCACCAAATTGGGAGTGACATAAGAGCCACCAGGTGTCCATGTTCACTTTTAACTCCTGCCATCCTTGTGGAGCTGAGAACTGGGTTCTTCTTACTCTCTAGCTGGAGTTTGCTTAGTTTGTCTTCAAGGGGAGGTCATCCTGCAACTATGACCTGGAGAAAATACATGACCTCTCCCCAGTAGCCAGAATCCTACTCTACAAGACTTCTAGAGGTGGACAGAACGCCTGGGTGGCTGGGAAGTGCTGGCTGTGGAGTGTCCCAGTCGGTGAGGAGTATGGGAGTTTAAAGTACAAGGCGACACTTAGAATTACATCAGTCAGGAAGCCGAATGCAGTGGGAAGCTACAGGGGAGAAATTCACCAATGCATCTGGTTGCTTCAAAAAGAGACTTCCCTTCAAGTCTTAACAGTTCCTCACCTCATGCAAATGACTGTGAGGAGGGTAGAACAAAACCCACCTAAACTTGATAAGACCTTTCAAAAATGGCTGGGAAGTCATTTAATCTTATTTAGAACCATTAAAGTTTCACATGGTTAGTTAATTTTTGTTAATTGGAAGGATTATAAAGAGTCTAATGCAAGCCCTCCCCCTCCCCAAAGAGCTGGGTTCCTGCAGCTTTTTTTTTTGTTGTTGTTTAAAATAAGGAAGTCGTTTTCCCCAAGTATCTTAAAGATGCTGAGAAAAAAATCAGAAATAAACATCTATCTGTGCATAAGCAAAGTTCACTGGACCCAGGGGTGGAAAGTAAAGTAATGGCTCCCACACTACTTATGCTGCAGGCTCACTGAGGGTGGTACCCAACACCAGCTGGCCTCCTGCAAGGCAGGAGGAACCATGGCCTCTGAGCTCCCAGTCAGTGTTTGTGTTTTCATCCAATTCCCAGATAGACATTCTCCCGTGGAATACCCTTTGCTACCCTGACTTTGTAGCACAAAGCAGACCACACATTGGTATCCAGTTCTGAATTGAAAAGAGAAACATCTGCTATCTGCTAACAGGTTGAAAAGAGAAGCTCAACCACAAGAAGGGGCTCCTCAGACTGGCTCCCAGTGCACCCCAGGAGACTCTAGCCATAGCGTGTCAGTAGTCTATGCTAGATTTCAGAGGACAGGCTAGCATGCTGGATACTAAGAGGCACCATTATCACGCTATTCTCCCGTACACAGTTCAAACACTGGCCCAAGCCACCTCAGTGAGGTTTTAAAGTCATCTCCCAAGTTCCCAAGACATAAGACACCTTCCCTATTTCTGTGAAAAGGGGGGGGGGGGGCACTGACATAGCTGAGAAACATCTAGAAATCTGTCAGAGTGGTTGAGGTCTAGGGTCCTACCTCAGATATCCAGGTAATTCAAAAGAGGCTGCTTGCTGTCACCAGTCAGGACTGGTGAGGGTGTGGCCTTTGTGCCTCAGAAATGCCCCAGAAGCTTGTGTGGAGGGAATCCCCATTCTCCCTTCTCTGGCTCTAGAGCTGTCTGTTTGGAAGTAGGAATGAGCAGCTCCAGGTAGGCCTCGGGACAGGAGTGTCTACCATAAAATTCCGACTAGAGCCCTGACTGATAGTCCACCTCTCTTCTGGAAAGCTCTCACCAAAAAGGTAACAATAGTGACTCCAATCCTGCTTTCTCCCAGCTAGTGCAGGATAGGAGACGCAGTCGCAGGGCAACCTAGGGAAGGTTGTTCTCCTAGAAGCCAGAATATGAGAAGTTCAGGCAGGGAGTACCTGGAAGCTGTCCACAATCCCACAGCAGCACAACCTCCAAATGCTTCCCCACCAGGCTGGGAAGGATCTGAAGAGAGGCCGGACTCTCAACCAAAAGTGTCCCAGGAGATGGGGTGAGGAGGACTATGCACCCCCTCTACCAGACCTGGTGATATGTTTCCCACCCAGGACGAGAGGAGTTTGGGGACAGAGAGGGGACTTCCTTTCTTTGCAGGGGCACATTAGGCCCCTTCCTACAAGTGGTCTTGAAGGCCAGAAGGCTGGGGTGGGAAGTATTCCTGTATCCACCAAGCCACCAGAAAAAACCGGGGCGATTTATCTGGGGGTTGCAAAGTGGGTAGACCCACCTCTGATCCCCGACACCAGGTTGAGAAGCTGGGTCTCCCTTCACAAGAGAAGCTGAGCACACCCCTTCCGCCGAGACTCTGCACACACCCTCCGGTGCTAAGCTAAGGATCTTTCCCAGACCCGCTCTGGGCTCCCCCACTCCCTTCTTTGCTCCGCCCAGGTGCAAACCTTGAAGCAGCTCGGAGAAGGTGGCTGCGGGTGCAGCCTCCGCCCGGCACTCTCCTCTGGAGGGTTGGGACCCCAGGCTATCTGCTGAGCGTTGGGGACTCCCCTTTGCTTTCCACACGTATACCCCTAGGGATCAGGCCAGGAGTCCCCTTCCCCTTCTGGAACGTGTGGAGACATCCTTGACACCCTAATGCTGTCAGAGACAGTGGGCGTAGATCTACCGACCCGATTGCGAAGATGAAGGGGTGTAGAAGCGAGCGGGTGCAAGAGAGGAAAGGGGCTGTGGTCCTCTTGGAGCCAGGAACAGCGTCCTCGGTCCATGATCTGAACATTCAGTCACCGCCCAAGATGCCAACGCATTCAGAATGTAGCCGAGAGGTTTGTTTGTTCCTGGGGAGGGAGCTCTTTCTACCCTAGGCAGAAGCAGCCAGCCTTCCTAAATACCCGGGGCAGGAATTCCAGGAGCTGCTCCCCACCTCGGGACCTCCCAGGTACCTAGCCCCTCCCCCTGTATTTACACGTCCAGGCTGGCGGCCGCCCTCCGGCCCCCACCGGACTTCAGTCTCTTTTCCAAATCCTCTTTGGTGACCACACTGGGCTGCCCCTTCGCCCACGTTAACCTAGCCTTCCGTCCCCTCACCCTTGGGCAGATCTTACTCTCGGGCTGCCGCCTGCATCCTCAAAAGAGACCCTTTCCTCCCAACACCACTTACTTCACCCACCCAGAACCTCACTTGCATTCCCCAAGGCACCAAACCGTAACCGAAAGCCACTCCGGGGATTTTATTATCGAGTTGGGGGTGGCGTGCTTGAGTTGTCTGACCCCCACCGCTCTGGATGGAGACCCCCGGGGTGGCAGAAACCTTCCCTTAAAGTCCCACCTCTCCTGGTTCTCCTTCTCTGCTCCTACCCAGCAGCGACAAGCAGGAGAAGCACTACTAGATCCCAAACCCTCGCCTCTGGAACCGGAGCTGCAGGGAGCGAAAAGTCCAACTGCAAGAACACAGTGAGAGAAATGGGCAAATGCGTTAAGGAAAGGGGAGCTGGGGGAAGGGCGCACGAGAGACATGAACTAGCACTGCACCAGGTGAGAATCATACAGGGAGGGTCACAAAAGTTTGCAGACTACTGCATGGCACCTGGTTGCACAAGAGCGAAAAGGGTCGACTCCTCGTATTCCAGGCAGAGTCTCTCCAAAGATCTGTATCATGGGAACCCGGGATTTGGACTGACAGGACTCAAAACTGCGGTCACCGTTCTCTGCTTCCCAGAGAGATGGCCTAGGCAACCTGACTGGGAGCTGATCCCGCGCTCTGCGTAAAGCAACAGGCGGCTGCACCTTACCTTGCGCCAGTCCTGGGTTGGGATGGCTGCTCCATCCTCGTGGCGCAGGGAGGAGGCGTTTGGTGCGTATGCCTAGGGGTGTGCGGGCTGCCAGGGCTGCAGCGGCCGCCACCTCCAGCAGGCTGCAAACTGGGCTGCCCACCCCGACCCGGCCCGCCGGCCGGGCTCCGCTCCGGAGCGACCGCCGCGGCGGCGTGGATGCGCTGTGGCCGGGGCGCAGGACGCAGGCTGTGCGTGGCGCGGCTGGCGTCTTTGCGCGCCGCCACTGAGCGAGCGAGGGTGCGGCCCCGGGCTGCCTTGTGGGGCACGACTTGGCTTTTCGCTGCGGCGGCGGCCACTGCAGACCCTGTGCGGGGAGCAGGAGGCTCGCTGGAGGAGGAGACAAAGATGTGAGGGAGGCAGAAAGCCACTCGCCAACGTGCAGGCGGCTCAGTCACTAGAGGGGACTCGCCTCCAAACCTGGGCTGGGGATGGAGGAGGAGGGGCGAGGCTTCTGGGGACTAGAAGAGCTAGAAGGAGTGAACGTGACAGCAGAGCTGGCTATCACCTCACTGACACAGTTTTCTGCCTTCTAGTTGGAGGGTCCTGAATAGGGAGAGGAGGGGCTTCAGTTTTGGCTGAAGAAGCCAGAGCTTAGGTAGGAGCCTTAGCTTCCTCCTCTGCTCTTGCATCCCCTTGCACAGTTCCAGGAAAGGTTGCTAATGGGCCCTTTTTCCCCCCTTCTGTTTTCTGATTACTAAACAGGGCAACTGTTTAGCCAAGGCTCATTGCTGTCGATAGGGAAAAAGGAAATATTGAAAATTAACTCTACAAATGACTTTTTATTGGGTGCCAAGTATTGTGCTAGGCGATTGTGCAGGAGGATGAGAAAGGAGACAGTACTCCATACCCAGGGTTGTTCCATTCTCTGATTTCCAGACGAGTGTACCCTGAATTCCCGGTGCCCAACATTTAGGCAATCAATAGTAGTCCCTAATTCTTGGTAACCAGTCTCTCCTGCTCCCCCAGGATTCCCTGTCCCTCTCAGAAATAGCTTACATTGCACAACAGAAATAGTCCCTTAAGACAGACTGTGTGGTGTGTCTGTGTGTTGAAGAGAGACAGAGACCAAGACAGAGACAGAAGGAGAAGAGACAAGACAGAGAAAGAATTGACTAGTTTCCGTAATATTCTTATGTCATGACTCCATATGATTAGCACAAGAAACCAGTTTGAGATCGAACAACTTGCTTTTCTAGCTTCAATAAACAGCAGGGTTTTTCTAAGTCTCCTTCCTCCTATCCTCCACCCCTGGCCAAATCAATCTAAATTCCCGTCTCTGTGCTGTCGCAGGCTTTCATCGCCCAGCAACTGTAGGGCTGACACGTTGATGATTTTTATCCTTTCACTCACCTGTGAGACCCCTTCCAGGTGCAACATTCAACACTGCTGGCATCTGGCGACAAGGGATGCTTATCTGGTCAAAGATCACCTCCTTCAAGAGCAGTAAACCCCAGTGTCCCTGGAATAAAGGACTGTTGAGATACAACCTCTAGGAGTTTCTGGAGGAGCAAGACGCTCAGCGATTTTCACAGGCCCCTTTGCCGACAGCACACAGCCATTTCCTCCGTCTTTGTTCCTGGTTCCTCTGCCCCCAGCGACCACCTCACTTCTCTGCTGAATCCCCAACAGGCGGGAAAGCCATTCTGTTGAGCTCACACACAGGGCAAGAGTCAGGCTTACTGCAGCTGGCACCCAGAGCAAATCCGTGCCTGACGGGGATCCACCAGAAATGTCTTTAATATTTGGTGGCCTGTATCAAGCTTGTTGGAAGCCTGCTGACATTCCCCATGTTTGCAATGATGCTTCTTTATTGCAGACACATTTAGAAGATTCTGAGCAGGGTTTCACTGCTGTACTGTGAAGAGGTATGCTATGTCTAGACACATTGCAAAAATGTAAACCATTGACACCCCAGAGCAGGCATGCCCTTATGCTATATACTATATACCCTTATATAGTATATATAGTGGCTCGCATTTCTAATATTTTGCAGTGTGATTTGATTAGTCTGGATTTGAATTATCATATTTTTAACAGTTTTAAACTAAGACTTTAAGGACCTAGAAATAAATATGTATGGACAGTAGGCATGTAAATTGGTGTATTTATTTAGAGGGAAACATGGCATTCTTATTGAACGTATACAATTTGTTTGAGGTACTGTGCCTACGATTCTATTCCTCTCAACTCAGGAGTTAACTGAGAACATATAACTAAACCCATCTGTAGTGATGCTTGCTGGACTGCTGTCCAAAGCCGTGGACGGCTGGGAGAGAATGAGAGACAAATAGTGAAATGTTTCATAAGAATATTTGATAAACTACTACACTTTGAATCGCTATAGATGAGCATTGTCATGGACGCCGGGAGTAGGTTTAGTTGAAGGGTTCCAAGATGGCACAGGACATAATGGGGTTCAGAACCTGGATCCCGCAGATCTGGCTTAGAGCCAGGCCTTCCGTATTGTTGACCAATCATGTCTGAAGCTTTATTTTCTCTGCTGTGTGGTTATCTTGATGCTGTGTTTGAAATGAAATGGTGCATGGGGAAGGACTCGTCACTTACCAATGTCGCTAATACATTCATTGAGGTAAACTTAAAAAGAAAAAAAAATCCTGACTGTGGCTCAGATAACCTTTAGGTGGCTTTCTGGTTTGGTTGGTTCACCAAGTTGTCAACATGACTTGTTGACTGTTGGTGTCACCCATGCTATAAAAAGGAAAAATGACTAGGCGTGGAGTTTGTCACCTCTGATATAAACTTAGATTTGTTTTGTAGCAACCGGGAATCAAGTCTAGCTCAGCAAAATATGGGATTTAATATGAGACTCTGATTGGTTGCTCCCTCTGCTTGTGCTGACATCCAATTTAAAAACGAAACAGGAGAAAGGACGCTTCCTGGAAGCTCTACCTATAACTTAATTAGTGCACCAGAGAAGGAACTTAGCATGAAAGGGTCATGAGGCTCTCTGACCTTCAAATTCTCCTTCAAGGCCTTCTGCTTCAGAGCTGGGCTTTTTGTAAAAGCTGTCTGCACACACCAGAAATGTTCCAGAGATACCCGGGAAAATGGGACCTGCTGCTGCTTTCTGTCTGACTTCCTTTGGAAATGGAGTGCTTTGTTTTGGTCAGTGTGTTCCAGGAGCCTTTGCATGTAGAAGAAATCCCTCCAATTCTGTACCACATTCCCAACTGAAACGTTTCTAAAAAACTACAAAGGCCTACTTCTCAAGGGAGGGGGCTGCTGAGTTTCTCAAATTCAAAGGGTTGGGGTGCCTGAAGCCCTGTTGCTTATGAAATGGAAAAAAAAATCAAGGCATGAAGATGATGCCCCCACAAAACCTTTGAGAGGTATTTCAAGTGATAGGAAGCCATTCCAAAGCAGCTTAATGCTGGAATTTGGGCAAGGAGGCCCCTCAAGAGCATGCTTGCTGCTGAGCTCAACCTCAAGAAGCAAAGGAAGGCTGTGCTGTGTTTAGCTTTGCACTCCATGGCAGCTGGGGACCTGGTGGTGACCTCATCTCCATACACACTGCTCTCCAGGAGCTCTAGGTCTTTCTCATAGCTGGTGGCTTGGTTCACATGGAGAGGGAGGACCCAGTATAATCAGACCTTCCCTTAATAATGAACACCCAATGATTCATGAATGCAGAGATATAGGCTCATTCAGTCTTGACACGATTGCACAAATTTCAATCCAGAAAGTATCAGCACATGAACTAAAGAACCACCCAATCATCTGAATAATTTTCCAAGTGAATCAACTCTTTTCCGAGAATAGGGGCTAATTTTATAAAGAATTGTAGAACTAGTTGGTTAATTGCGTTAACAATATTATGTGTTCTTTGATTTTAATAATGATTCCATATCGTAAAGACTAAATTTCTTACCCTGGTCTTTAGGGTCTCTATAATTTAACTCTCTCCCTGTGGCCCCCATACATACCTCCAGCCTTCCATCAGCCAGCTCCTGTCCCCATGACTTGCAGGCCAGATCCATGCACAGAGCACACGCTTGCTGCAAACCCATTGAGAAGATGAATAACTGTGGAACCCCTTACCTTTCCCATCTCCAAAACAGCAATGTCACTTCTAAGCTACTCCACAGGGAAGCTAATTAATTCTCTGAAACTGGAAAATATTTTGAAGTTCTACAGTACTTTAAAAGCCCTCAAGAACACTAACATGGGCAATAAAAACCATTATTGTTACTTTCCTGACATAGAAATGGTGAATAATTCCCTTTTAATGTGTTTGTTTTGAATATACTCAGGACATTTGAGGAAGTAATGTATTGTTGGCTCATTTCTCTTAGGGACGCCTTGTGTGGTCTACTGTTTGCTCACTTTTTAGTGTTGACAACTTCTGTTTACACTTAACATTGGTTACCAGGAAGGTGACAAGACTCCAGCCTTCTGCAGTTCTGTCTTAGTAGACAGTATGGGTACCTATGGGTGACTTCTCTGGCCATATTCTGTCATCTTGCTACCAACCCACACAGTCTAATAGAGTTCCTTGTCTGCTTGAATTTTCCGGAAATTTCCTCAGAGTTATCTGTGAGAATTGGGTTACTGCATGGCAGCCGAATCTACCATATGTGAACACTACAAGGAATATGCATGTTGGACATCACCTGCAGAATGAATCCTACGCTGTCACACTGGGCTAATGTAAGAGACAGTGGCTCCCTAGGTGACCTTTAACCCTGGCTGCCGCCATTGGTGCCATTTTCTGCATTTCCCTTGGCTTCTTATTTGTCTCGATGTTTAAATAAATTAATCTTCCTGCTTAAAGTCGTTCAAATTGGTTTTTGTCAGCCAGGACCAAAAGAATCCCCTCTAATACAGCACTGACGAAGGATTTGAGAATAGCCTCCCAGAGAAAGTCAGACTAAAGGTTAGAGACAGCATCTGCACATACGCTTCCATGGGAGGCTTTCCTCTCCTGAAGTCCAAAGCTTGGCAAACAATAGAAGTGGAACCTCGGCTTCCAGAGACACAAATTCTACCTCTAGTGTAAAATCCAAAAGCAGGGCAGGCCCTTGACTACATGAAGGTTTCCCGAGGGCAGAGAACTGGGTTGTCTGCCCCTCTACCCTTACAACTGGAAAATTCTGCATGTTTAATGCATTTCTGTTTAGTGAGTTCATGTGTTTGTGTCTCCTTACTCGCAGTAGAAATAATGAAAAAATGACGTTTTGCTAACTCATTCTGTAGACCAGCCACTGTACTGAAGCTTCCTCCGAACTTCACTCAGCTTCTTACAGCCCAGAGGGTGTGGGCTGTGGCAGCTCTGGATCAAGAGAACTTGTTCTCATAGATTAGTTTGCTGAGAGAACCCATGCTCTTTTTCCTGTGATCATGATTTAAACCTAAATGTCTCCAGAATGTTTTCTCTCTTGTACCACAATCTCCTTAATGCATCTCACCAAAGGGCAGAAATCTGTGCCCCCATCATCCACAAAACTAACTAGCTTTTCTTCTTTCCCTTCTGCCCCTCTCGGAAACTTACCAAACTGCCTCCCTCTGGCCTACTTATTCTTGATCACCAAAGGAGGAGGTCAGATTGCCGTGTGCTTTGAGTGAATGAGATTCCTCCTTTTTGCAAATAGCTAGTATACAGGGCATAACACACGTAGTGCCCTCCGTGACATTTTGGGCCTCCCTCCTGGGATTGTCTTAGTGACTGACTAGACAAGACAGCTTGCCTTAGAGATCCAGATCATATTTTTGAATTAGGATCAAAAGCACCAGGATAGATATTTTTATCTTTATCAAAAATATTTTTATATGCCTTGTAGTGGTAAAAAAAAAGGTAGAAACCAACCAAATATTGACCAGCTGCGAGTAAGTATATGCAGAATGGAAGATTATTTGGTTATACAATATACTGAAGAGTTAATTTACTATTTCAGATTGTCTGGTTGAAAGGACTTTTGAAGTAGGTGGTGCTACTTTATTCATTATAAAATGCATTCCCTTGGCATTTAATTAGAGTCTGATCGTTCAGTGGCTTTTCCATTTTGACTTGTAAGTCTCTGGGTGATCTAGGCTCTTTTGTTTTCCCATCATCCTCTGCCACCATTATCTCATCTTTTCTCTTATTTAAAGCCTTTTTACCCCCTGGTTCTAAACCTTTGAATCTTCCTCTTCTGTTCCTGGCTTTTTTATGACTGCGACTTTTAAAATTTATTTTACTTATTTTAATTAATCTACTATTTGACAATCTCATGCATGTATAAGGGTGATACATTCTGGACCCGCTCCCTCACACACACACTCTACCATTCTCCTCTCATATCTATTGACCCCTCCCCAAAAGGTCTCTATCTACTCTATATCTTTTTGGGTTTTTTTTTTTTTTTTTTGCTTTTGCTTTTTGACCCACTGGATTTTACCAAGGATACTTGCATGGGCATGGGTGTGAGTCTACCTGCTGTAGTGTAAGTAGATCACCAGTGGCTACAGATGGCTTCCTATACACTCCTAACAATCCTTGACCGCCATTAGCCATCCTGAGTGAGGCGAGGCCTGACGAGTCCCTCCCACCAATGACCGGATGTTCACACAGCCATCATGAGTTTATAACTGTCATGTCACTCCCTGAGACAGTGTTTCACCATCCTCATCTCTATCACCCGTGTATTACAGTCTTCCTATCTACTGTGTTGTGATGTCCTGTGAACTTTCAACACGTGATATGGGCATTCTATTTAAGTCTGAGCACTCTCTAGTCACTTGTACCAGGCACCTTGACTAGCCACAAGTCTCCACACTAACTAACTGTATTCACTACAAAGATAAGCTATTTAGACTAGGGGTGAGGATAAGAATAAACTATGGTTATAAACATAGATAGCTAAAAGGCCGTTTGATAACATTCATTCAGAAATACAAGTATAATAGGGTTACCCCTAGTGCTTTCAATCTCTTCAGTCATGGGCTTTTGACCAGATCAATGATATCTGGTATGAACTTCTTGCCATAGAGCTAGTCTCAGATCCAATCAGATATTAGTTAATGGGCCCCACCCATAACCAACTGCAACTCTTGGGAGAGTGGGACCCACACCTTGCCAGGGCAACACACTAGAGCGAGCCCTGGGGCTGTGGGTGCAGGCAAGTGGATAAATCGGCACAGGGGGCATGAGCCAAGAATGGGGGAACTGGGCCTGCCCTTCGCCTCAACAGAGCTGGAGAGCTAGCCCTAGTGGTGCAGGCAGATGATAGCAGGCAGGCTGACCAACTCCCCTATAATCCAGGCCCACCCCAACATCTTCCCCATCTAAGAACTGCTAAAGCCTGTGAAGGCGCTACAGAACCAAAGCTGGAGGAGCTCCATGACACAGGGCAACAACAGGCTATTTGAGAGGAGTCCCTGTGTAGCCAGTATTGACAGTATGGCAGAAGGCAGGGGCCTTGAACTAGACCAACAACTCACGTCTTGCAATGAACATTTATAAGCAAAGTTGTTTGAGTAAAGGGTAGAATCCACTGCAAGATTGCTTTTGATGTTGTTGGTTTATTTTTGCTTGTTCTCTTTAATTCATATTTTTATTTTTTGTTTTCTTTTGGGGAGAGGTTGTAAGGGCAGATGAGGAGGGGTCGAGAGATGAAGGAGATTGTGGTCCATGATATGAAATTCACAAAGAATCAATGGGCAAGAAAAGAAATCAGCTGATGACCCTAGAACAGCTTTTCCACTGTAGCATCAGGAGGCTCGTCTTGCCTTGCAAGTTGCTATCATAGCGTGCAGAGTCTAAAGCCGGGAAAGATCGTCACTGACCGTTGCTTTCCCCACTGTCTACATAACACCTCTGGAGGATGCACTCAGCTCAGTTCCAGCATGGTTTGTTTACACTCTGCAACTAAGCTGTGTGGAGTCTTCAGCAATAGGATCTCACCATTCTGGGGCCAGGCAAGAGCAGTGGTCATGTTTCCAACGCCAAGAAATGTCACATGATTAAGGTGAGAGGTGTGCTGGTTACCCCGATTGCATCATTCCATAAAGTGTAAAGGTGTTGGACTATTACACTGTACCCCCCAATACATATGGTAACAAATGTCTATCAAAAATAGAAACACGCTTATAAAAAATAAGACCCTTGAATAAACCTTAAAGGCATTACTGCCTACCAAAGAAACTATTTCACAAAGACGACATACTGTATGGCTTCATTGTATAAAACAACTCTAACAGGGGGATCTACAAAGTGACAAGCAGAGTTGTAGTTGCATGGGGCTGGGCTTGGAGGTGAGGCTCCTTTTTAACTATGGCTGTGATTTAATTACACAGTGCAGCAGCCCTACTGATCTGTGCACATGCTAAAAGTCGTAGAAAGGTATGCGTGTGAGTTCCAGCTGAGAAAAGCTACATACATGTTTCATACATGTGATAACAGAACTAAGATTAGGATACATGAAGACTCTCCTATCTTCTTTTTTTCCCTCTGCCTGTCTTTTCTGTCTCCACCTAGATGGCAGCCTAGGAGTATAGGCTTCTGCACCTCAATGTCCTGACCCTAGGACCTCTTCCTTAGGTCTCCTTTCTCCACCACGTCTCCTTGTGCATTGTTCTTCATATGGAGATTTGGACCTGCCAGGTTTATTCTTACCATCTAGTAGAATTAACCAACTCAGTTCACATCTCAGAGGCTTTAAAGGAAAGGAGCAAAGAAAGCCGAGGGACCTTAATAAAAGATGCTGAAGAGGTCCTTATCAGTAGCTACTCACTCTAGCTACTTTTGCATCCCATCAAAGACCTTTGCATCTCCAGCGGAGCCTTGCAGGCTTGCCACCACTGCTCTGTGTAAGCCCTGGCTGGCTGAGGCGGGCTTGCCTTCCTCCCTCTGTAGTGCTTAGGGAAGCCAGCACAATATTCATGCTGGCTGGTCTGCAGTCAGTTCAGTATTTAATTATGGGGTTGGTTTCCTTCTTTTGTACTTGTGTTTTCTCCGCCCACCGGGGGTGTTTGAAGGCTCTGACAAGGAAGCTTTCTGGCCGTCCATGTTTCATTGTAAGAAGCCAAGGGCATGAGAGAACAGCCCTCCCTCCATCAGAGGCTGGGGTTTCAGTCTTTCTTCTTAAACTTAAGGTACACTTAGGGAAGCCATGGGACTTCTCAGACACTGGTTTACTCTGATAGAAAGGGAGTGGATTATTCCATTGTCTCTAAAAGCTCCTTTTAGAGTGGGTATTCCCCAAACAGGGCCCAAGATCTCCAGGCACAAGCGTCTCTACAGGTTTGCAATCAAGAAACTGACAAACACAACGGAGTGCAGATGTATTTGTTCGCTAATGATGTAGCGGCAGGCCGCCTGTTCGTCCTGGCTGCCCAGAAACGAAAATATCACACAGAAACTGTATTATTTAAATCACTGCTTGGCCCATTAGCTCTAGCTTCTTATTGGCTAACTCTTACATATTAATTTAATCCAACTTCTTTAATCTGTGCATCACCACGAGGTCATGGCCTACCAGCAAAGTTCCAGCACATCTGTCTCGGGTGGTGGCTCCATGGCTTCTCTCTGACTCCGCCTCCTTTTTCCCAGCATTCAATTAGGCTTCCATGTCTACCTCTATTCCCTGCACAGGCCCAAGACAGTTTCTTTATTAACCAATGGCATTCACGGCATACAGAGGGGGAATCCCACATCATAATAAGCCTCATTTGCATAGCTTTTTGCTGGGACATCAGTGCCCAAAGTAGATCTGTATTCTGAGGTCATCTCCCTCCAAGAGTATTAGCAAGCATGCATACAGTGGGTTACAGGAGGGATCCCCAAAACATGAATCCGAGTTGGTGTGCTATCAGAATACCTGCATGGATATACCTC